GATGAAAAGAAAAGTGTAAAACAAAAACCAGGAAATGGAATATAGAATGAAAATAATGATAGATAAAAAAAGGTTGTGTGGAGAATCATCGGCCAATGAAATGTTTGTTCACAAATGATGGAAGACATCTTAGCGTTCTGAAAAGGCAGAAATACAGCCTTAAATTTCCCCTACTGTGTTTCTTTTCTTATTGGGTCAGTTTTCAGACATTTCTTTTCTGCTGGTGCCATTTCTTTGCTGTGTTACTTTCCGTCAACTTGACCCTTTATCGAATTCACTATTTCAACAATCAATATTCATGGGGAAAACGTCCAAGGGTTGATGCATTCCTTATATATTTAATAAATATTTCTCTATTGAAACTTGAATAAAATCAAATATTTTACAATCACGTTGAACCATATGATAATTCCGATCTACTTGTTATGTAGGGATCATAAAACTTATATCGCATTCATCTTAAAGATTTTCCTTTCCAGCCTACACTTTTTAGTATCGTAAGATACAGCCATTTCAATAATGATATATAGCATAGATTTGCACGACGCCACCAATCAAAATAGACTATAATCCACCAAAACCTCGACGGCATGTTTGGTGGACATAAATAAACAGTACAATAAACAAAATCTTGACTCATTCAATCTACCATGCCAAAACATACCATAACAGTCGTGCAAACATGGTTCAAAATGCAGAAATTTACTTGTATGAAAAAGATAGCGTAAAATTTTATTGCATAAAAGGACAAAATCCACATAGCCTTAGTTAAAGAATGGGAAAAGTGAGCATAGCATAAATGACGATTTCCAAAACAAGATACTTAGCATGGTACACGTATAACAACAAGAAATTTGCCTCTTTATTAATAACTGACTGCTGTGAATAGCTCAGCCAAGTGTAAAATTGATGGCATTTGAGGTCCAAAGCTTCCCAATACCCTTGATGAGTCGAGTCCGTCCCCCACTACACCGGCTATCCATCGCATAAAGCATTTTGGAAATAAAAGTAATTAATGTATAGAGCATGTACCTGCTGCACCCATATGCAAGAACCACAGAGAATTTTCAGTTTTCATGTCGTCATGTCACTTAAGAAAGCCTCAAAACTGCATCTTCATCCATTGTCCATACAAAATCGGGTTTATCAACTCTTGGCCCTGAAACTGTCCTGTATATATAAAGTTTTTCAACAGGACAGGTTTCTGGCCTTAAATCAGGGTGTCCTCTCTCATCTATAACTTCAACATTGAGCTTGGGCATCTTCTGAGCTAGAAGCTTACATGCTCCATAACTTACAGAGCAAGATGACATCCAAAGGGATCGCATTGTCTCCAGCTTTGCAGCATTGGCCAAGAGAGCCTTGTCCCCAAATGGACAGTCCATGATCTCCAGTTTTCGGAGGCTTTCACACCCAGACAACACGTGATGGAGGCCCAAGTCGCTATCCCCAGCGAAAGCTATAGAAAGCATCTCTAGTTTCTTAGCATGAGTCCCAATGTATTCAAAAACTCGATCAGTGAGGAGACCAGAAAGGGAAAGGCGCCGCAGTTCTTTACAGTGCTCTACAATGGCTCCAAAGCCAGTATCAAGTGGGTCAAGGGTTAGGTAATCAGGAGCTTGAGGATCGATAATACATAGACGGAAGCGGATAAGGTTAGGACGATTCCTTGCAATAGTAATCAATGCAGCATTTGACATCTGACGGCAGAAGTATAGCACCGACTGGAGCTTGGGGCAACCTGCCGAAACTGTGACAAGCCCCTCTTCCGTCAAAGACACATTTGGTTCTGCACCATAAGGATCTGAAGGAAACACCCTAAGTTCTTGCAGATCCTTGCAATATGAGGAAAGGACCTTAAGGCCAGCATCCTCGATGTGATCCAGCACCTGAGTAGCCATGTCTTCAGTAAGTTCAAGAATGTAATGCAACACATAACTCATGTCATAGACAACGAACAAGCAGCAAGAGCAAACAAAAATTACCTTGATAAAATTTCTTCCAAAAGTATATAGCACAAGTGAATGAAATATCATTACATTCTAACTTAAAAAGTACTTCTATCTAAGGTTAAAATTTACCTAATGCAGCATAATGAAACCTTACTCTTAGCCATTGTAGAAATTATCAATGACATGACAGAATATAAAGATCACATACCCATAGACACTTTAAATTGGGACACTGGCTAATGAGCTCAACAAGATCTGGACTTTGAACAGTAGCATAGCTCAAGTTCAATGAAGTGATTCTGGAGCACACACAATACATTGCTGGAAGGTAAGCTGGAACCGCATCCCAAAACCCAGACAATCTTTTGAGCTGCTTGCAGCCTGAAAATGCTTCCACCAGGTTAGAGAAGATATCTGTTTGAATTTCAGCTGAATAGGCACCTGTACCAAACTCAACCAATTTGGGGGCACCGCGAAGTAGGCTTGGGAGCTTCTCAACAGGCACCGCACGATTCAGACGAAGAGTTCTCAGGTTAGGACACCGTAAAACGAGACGCTCCAGAGCCGAAAAGCTCACCTCAGAGCCCAAACAAGACATGTTAAGTGACACCAGTGAGGTGAAGTTGTCTGGGAAATGGCTAAGCCAATGCCCACTCAAGTCCTCCACTTCACTCTCCCCCAAATCTAGTTCTCTGAGGTTCCTGCATTTCAAAATCGCGGAAATAATCAAAATAATGAAGTAACCTTTATATATTGAAACATGTTCCAACTTCCAATATATTACTTGACAAGAGCCAATATCCTTCAGGAATGGGAAAAGTAAAAAAGTAACACCGAAAAATTAACTTCAACAATCATCACTCTGAAATGCTGTAACTTTCTCATAATTACTGCAGCAGCAGTTCTCTCAGAATTTTTGGAAGAGCTACCATTTTAGTAAGGGAAGTTAATTATTCATGGACGGTTGATTATCTCACTAAATTATTTGGATGGAAAGCAAGAATTATAGCCAGCCTGAAGTTTCCAAGATTTCAATATAGAAATAAAGAGAAATGTCATGAGTTCTACCCTGTAATGGCAAATCAGAGACTAAAATCTTAACAATAAAAGAATCCTTAGGGACAAGTAAAACCCAAAGAGAAAACAAACGGGAACTGTGCAGTCATTCCTATTCATATAGAGCAAGAAGGGAGAAAATCCATTGAATAGTTCGAAAAATGTCCATCCAAATATCTATCCAAGAGGTAACATTGAGGACAACCAACATAGAATCTTTTACTGTTTCACATATCTACAATAACATTTGAATTACAATTCTTGCTAGATCCATGGAAAAAAAAAAAGGTTCCACTACATGCTCAACGCTTTCAAATGAGAAACTCTAAGCATCCCAGATTTATGAATAGACTCACAGTCAATTGGGAGAACTGAACCTTTCTAATACATTTCCCAGGTTTAAAGAAGATCAAATCACCAAAATTTATTATAAGATTTTATTCTGCTCACAAGAGAAAAATCACAAAATAAGACAACGAAGAAAAAATAAAGTGCATCCAAAATATTTGACCTAGAACAAGAAATACAAGATTCAAACTTTCCCTTTTGCTGTTCTGCACGTGCCATGTATAAGATAAAAAACCAAAAATAAATCACAGATATAACACATTGTCTCCCACTAAAAATGCCGAAATTCAGCAGGAACCCTAAAAAATTCAAACTTTATACCCTGACCTTTAAATCAACTCAAAGTTCAAAACCACTTTTCCATCTATAGTTCACACATACAGAGAAATGCACACTTTCCGTAACATTCGCATGGAATCTACTCTCAGATACATATTCAAAGTCAGAGGGATTAGAATCTCTACCTGCAATTGGCCGCAATGGAGGCAAGACCATCAGTAGTGAACCCCTCACACGACGAGAGCACCAAAATTTTAAAATTTTTGAACGACTTGGAGATCAGCTCCAAGCTCTCATCCGTAACCACCATGCGCTTGAGCTTGATTTCTTCGAGCCACGGGTAAGACCTAGCCATGGCTGAAATCCATGGGTACACATACGCACCCCAACCCTCAGGCACCAAGTTGAAATCCGCGAAATGCGGCTTCCCCTTGATCTTCACTGCCCTCACCTCCGGGAACCGGCGGATCACGATCTGTGGACTCACCGCATAACAGTTCCCGATAAAAATCCTCCTCCGGCAACACCTCTCAATCTCGTACCAAGATTTGCACACCAACGAAACCGCGTTCCGGTCCTTGTCGTAGCTCAAGAACGCAAACACGTACTCCAACACCTCCTCAGGGAACGAGTACGCCATTGAAATTCCTTCAAAGATTAGAGGTCAAAAGCGTAAGTTCACTTCAGATCTGCTAATCTCAAGAGAGAGAGAAAGAAGAGAAGATGTGGCAAGTGTGTGTACGAAGATAAGGTTTTTTCGAGTTTATATATCACGAGTATAATGTTACCCGGCGGTGAGGTTAGGATTTAACCACGGTTTGAATCAATCGTTTAAGATGACGACACGAGACGTAAATGAAATTTGGTCCTCAATGGAAAAATTGGGTTTTGTTGGACGGGGCGACCCGGCCGTGGGGATGAAACTGAGGGGTATTTTGCTAATTTTAATTACGAAGATGGAATCTTGTGATTCTAAATGCACGGGTGGCTCTGATGGATGGGATTGCGATTGGATTACGGCCGCCAAAATTGGTCTATTTTTTGTTATCAATTAATTATGACTGGTTCAAATTAAATCATCATTATCACCGTCATACTGTTTTTGGGCAAAATACCATACAATAACGAGACAGGCTTGTCCTAAAATTGATTACACATGAATAAAATTCAATTCCAATCCTCAAATGATATAGTTAAGCATAGGGGTAAAAAGTAAGTTGGATCGTATTAAATAATTTTATATAAGAAAATACAATTAACCTTCGTAGGAACTTGGAGACTCAGTATGATCCACTTTTACGCGTTAAGGTCACAATATCTAATAATGTTACATTTTTAATTATGTTACGTGTATATAATAGTTTATATACACGGGATATGGTAAAATATGATTTGATTCGGTCAATTTCTTCAACTAAATTAAAAAAAAAAAAAAAAACTTATGCACGCCCTTTTTGACATACCATCCAGATAAATCATTACGTAACTCCTTCTATACAAGTAGCATTTTTATTTTATATTTTTGTGGGTTTTTTTGAAGTAATTTGTAGGTGGATCGTGGAACTCAATAGCTTTTTCTTTTTTTCTTTTTAATTATACGATTTATATTATGGAAAGAAAACAATAAATTTTAAAAGTTAGGTCCTTCAATATCGTCGAGGATTTTTCAAGAAATGAGGTTGAATTACAATATCCCAATTTTCAGCTCGTGCACACAAATTTGACTAGTGAAATGGAAGCATTGTGATAATGGTTCTAGCGCATCTTGGCATGTTGAGCTAAAGTAAAAATGTAATCACTTACTTAAAAAAGTTGTATTTATAAGTATATAGATAAGTTATAAAAATAAATGTTTTTTAGTGATCGGAGTTTGATATAATTTATTTTTTAATATGAATTCACTTAAACGTAATTTTCAAATTATTAACCTATTTGTATAATTCTTCTCTACACATAGCAAGATTTTTGAAAATATTTAAACTTTTTTATTTCAAGAAAATCAATAATTCTTGTTTCTTGATTCTCGATAGGCTCTCAAAATACAAGATTGCGGGAAAGCAAGATATTATTTCGAGGACAAAATGTCTTTCTTTAATAAGGACCTAAATTAATTTTACTTCGTAAAGGGGTTAAAGAAGTGAGGTGTCCCCACCACGTTTCCATTAGTAGTATGTAGATGGTACATGACATTGCAGATATTTTTAATTCTACAAGGCTTTAATGACCAAAATGCCCTTAGGGTTGGACCATAAATTTGGTTGTTCCTGAAAGAGACATGGACCACATGGGTTGGCACTGTATTGGAGCCCGTAGACCTGTCATTTTTATGTCCAAAGCTGATATCCCTAAGGTTTAAAGATACATAATTTAACATCGAAGTGGTCCCATTATTTTCAAAATATATTTTCATCTCTCTTTTTTTTAACCACATATTTTTAATAAAATAAAATTACACGCAAATTCAAAAAATTTTCTTATTTTTTAATCACACATTCTCCATCAAATCACTATCTCTAAATGTATTTTTGATCAAAAGGAGGGCTCAAACAGGCTTTAAAACAAAAATATTTTCCTCCACACACAACATTCTAATTTTCGTTGATTTCAAAATTTATTTCGTGATCATGCATTAAAATCGCATGATTGAGATCTATGGCTCTCTCAATATAGACATGTCAAATAGCGACCCGATGGAGAAATAAAGGTAAAAGGTAAGTTTTGTTATTGCAATCGATAAAATATGAAATAATGGAATGTTAAGTGACTGAAATTGTTATTGGGTAGAAAGGTGATTGATAATAAAAATTTATGAAAATTTATTGAATTTGGAAATTTTGACTATACTATTATGCGAATTTAAATGTTATTTTAATAAAACGTAACAAAAATTTCACCCAGAGAATTTTAAAATTTTAAAAAACACATTTTTCTCTATTTTGTATGCAAGCAAATTCTAAGACTTGTCTAAGCTTTTTAAAATTTCGTTCTTAGTAGTAGAAGATCGAGAAACTAAATCACAAGAAAGAGAATAGTTCAGAGAAGATCGAGAAACTAAATCACGAGAAAGAGAATAGTTCAGAGAGAACCATAAAAATTGTCAAGATTAACAAGGGAACGTGTAATTTATACGTAGAAACACTCTATTTACAAGCACATAAATTAAGCTACAAATCAGCATGTTAATTTTGTAATTACTAATACAAGTAATTAATGTGATGAGTTGTAATGCACGTAAAGTTGATTGTTTAGTGGTAAGATAATGGGATTAAGAACTAATCATTAAAAGTAAATAAAATAAATTAATAGGATTAATTAATTATGCCCACGCATGGTTCTCCGGGAATCTCTCCTCTCCTCGAGTGGGATGGCATGGACTTTGCTGTTTATTTTCTGCAAAATTTTTTATTTTTATTTTTATGAAAAATGAATTATTGGGAATATAAGAAAACAAAAAATAATCATATTTTCTTGGATACAATGTTTGTACTATCAAAATTATTATATTCGTTATAATGTTTTGCTCCCATTCTTGATGGTTCGTTGTTATTTCAGGCACATGTAATTTGTACTTGTTTGCCATGTTAAGGATGTATGTCAAACGAACTTGTGCCCGTTATCATAATCAAATCATACTATTTTCTTCTATAATTACATTTAAACTTTATAATCTTTAAATAATTAAACATTTCATAAATCGTGTTTAGAGCTTTAGATTGTTTTAGTGAAGATTTTGGATTAAAAGAATAATTTTAAATTTTATAGTATAATATTTATAAAAAGACATTCCTCTCAAATTCGTTGTTTCTTTCACCTTGTCATAGCCTAATTCGTCTCCATCCTCTCTTACAACCATCGTCCCAAAATTTTCAATTAGTGGTGGAGAAAAGGAGATGCAAGGTTAGCTATAGTGAAGGGTCTGACTTAACGATAGCGATGAGGGCGAGGCAAGAAAGATTGAAAGGGTGCAACACAATAGTATAATGAAAACAAATACTCCCCCTCTCCCCCACAAAAATAGACTATTTTTCAATTTCACATATGTTAAGAAAATGTAATTAATATAGGTGAAGATATAATTTTTTTCTTATGTTTTTCTCAATATATCTATACATTAAATGGTTGTGTAAATATGAGTTATTATATATCAATTTTGCTAAATGTACAGTCCCCATTCACAGTGAGTTTCACAGTCATCTCACACGTGGGTGGTGGGCCCCACCAACGTGTGAGAGTACTGCGAAGGGAGACTGTAAGTGTAGCATTGTTCATTTTATATATCGATAACAAAGCACATTAAATATAGAGTATATTAGAAAATTAAAAAATCAAATATATTATCAATAAGAAAAGTGGTCTATAATTTGGAACAGACGAAAAAATGAAAGCAAATTTATCTTTACGAAACGAGGAAGTATGTGCTAAACAACAAATCAAGGGGTGACTTCGACATAAAACATAATTGCATCGCCTGATTAACACTATAAGACGAGTTATGTACTGTTAACTTCTAGTGTTAGCCACTGACTCATCTGTACTTAGTATAATAGATTATACAAACAGTAATTATGTCTGATTTAATTTATTTTTTAATTATGTCGCTTTATCCCAAGTTTAGAAGCAAAGTTAGCTGACATTGCATAATAATTAGTGCGTATACAGTATTAAATAAAATTAGCTTATGTAAATTTGCACTTATTTTTTTTTCTTAGAACTTTCTAGTGAATGGAAATATTTGTAAAAATAATATATATTTTTTAAATTGTATGGTTAAAAGTATGAAAAAGTTATTATTCAAGTGCAAAATTATTTTGTTATGAGAATATGTGATTAAAAAATGAGTTTGAAAAAATGAATTTTAAAAAATTGAGTCAACCACGGACTTAATGAGTTATTCGAATCCAAATACGTTTCGCAAAAAAAAAATCTAACTTTTTAAGATTTAAAAATAATTGTTTGGCTCCTATTTTTTAAAATTCATTTTCAATCCTATCTTTCATAGGATTCATAGTTTTCATAAATTATTAAGGACCCGTTTGTTTCCATTATTTAACAGAAGAATGGATTTTTTAAACCCTTTTAAAAATAAATGGGTTCCACTGTGAGATAAATTGGTTAACAAAAACGGTTACTTTCCATTGGAACGGTACAAGTTTTCATTAAAATT